TATCTACAGTGTCCTGAGACAACGTGTGTTGGGACTTGGAGCTGTAGAAATAAACTGAACTGAATTGAAATGAAACTTTAGTGAATAATAGAGTTGGTTATGGAAGAAGTGGCAACCTCTCAAACTGCTGGAAGAATAAGTTGTTCTGCAAAATAAAACTAGTTTTGATATTGAGAGCACAGCTAATCTGTAAGCAACCAGCTAACCAGGATGCTAGCTAACATGGYCTATGCACCTTGAGTAAGAACTTTGAAGATATGGACACACACTCCAGGCAGAATAATATTTAACTCTTGGGTCAGCCAGAGGGCTCTGAAGGTTTACCACCTACTGACTTTATGACTGAATTTCCTGAGAACTTCTTGGGGTCTGAGATGAAACCCAGCTTGAACAAAGCCCACTATAGACCATGTGCTAATCCAAGGGAGGGCAATCCACAACAACTGATGGTCATTAGGGTGTCATCATTTCAAACCAGGAATGTAGTCAAGGCTGGCCAAAGCAATAAAGCCTTTATAGTCTAATTTGACCTTTGTTGAATCAAGAAGAGGGGCACTACTYTTTGTTTAATGATGTTGTTTGATGATGTTTTTGTTGTCTTAGTCAATGCTTTGGTTATTGTCGACATTTATTTTCATAAATTTATGAATGCAAGACCGTTGTGGTATTTTGACATCTGTTTCTAGGTGATGACCTGGTCAGMTGTGTCTTGAAACCAGACACGATACCAAAACCAGTATTGGTTCTGATACTGTTAAAAGTACCCCAGCACTAATGTACAAACAGCACCTGATAGCAGTCCTATTCACCTCTGTGTTAGACAGAAGCAATGTTAGCCATGCACAGGTAGGTTCATGGTTTTTCTATCAGTTGGTGGCAGTAATGTACCAAAGGGTTGTTAGTTAACTGCTAATGAACACACAAAGAAGGAAAGAAATCAAAGAAGATGCAGAATGGAGATATTTTAAAGTGAATGGTGCTGACAAAATAAATGAGCACCAAAAATGTCAAGACAAGGGACAAAATCTAGCTTTTTTAGCACAAGCAACTTGCTAAAACATTTAAAAACAAAAAGAGATTGTTGAACACCTCTGCTTGGGGCAGACTCGTCCAGGGTTATGGTAGGATGGGGCAGGAAATGAAAAGACAGATCAGGACCTCATCCACAGTAAAAAGGGTGTTGCTTTGCTCTGTCATGGTAAAGATACTGGTCCTTTACGTTCCAGTCCTCACCTGTGGTTTGAGGTATGAATTAGAGACCAGTAAACTATGTGTAGGTATGGTAGGTGCCAGGGCATGGGGGGTGTACCGTACAGTGTGAGCTGTTGGCTTAAAAATAAGAAACCATTTGTAACAACAGGGTCCCTACAATTTAAGGAAAGTTAAATTTAAGATGTTAAGACTTTTTAATGCCAAGTGAAATTAAACTTAAGATTTATATATTTCAATATTTCAATATATTTCAATTTCATAATAAACACAAATGACAAAAAACTGGCAGAAACTCATGAATCAAAGTATTTTTGGTTGAAGTATTCAAATATTGCTAATAGACCAATTGTTTTTAACCATATCTAACTATAGCAGATACATTCTTAGCAGTCAGAGGATTTCCAGAAATAAAACTAAGTTTAAAACTACCAACCCAAAATTTGGAGTTTTAGGACCCACAGTGGGGTCTTAACCCCAGTTTTCTGTAGATGACACCCGAAAGTGCCTGTGACATAAAATTTTTGTAAGAAATATGAATGAATTTTTGGAAAGACAACATTATTAACATATTGCAAAACAAATTTCACGTTGCTCAGATGGACAGTTGTTGAGATATTTGCATGTGAAGTAACAGGAAGTGATGTCAAAGGAGAAAAATGCATGTGAATGTTTTAAAAAATGAATGTTACCAATCATTTTAATATTTGAGATGACTTACAATCATCCTATTTACAATGTGTTAATATTTTTAAGACTTCTGAAAGATTGATTTAAGACATTTTAAGGCTAATTAAGACCTTATTTTTGGATCGATGAATTCATTGATTTTTAAGATTTTTAAGGATCTGCAGGAACCTTGAACAATCAATGAACATAAAATTCCCACTTAAAATAAAAGTTTCACTCATCTTTTGCCTTTGAGCCAAAGTAAATATTGACAGGTGGGTGCAGACATTTTGCCTTTCATTTGCATTTGACAAAGAAGGATACGTTTTCACTGCAGGTCTTAATGTTCAACTCTGATTTTTTGAAAAAAAATATATTTTTGGTGTGAACGTAGGCCTGTTATTATAGTCAGTAAATCAATTAATCTCGTGATAAATTATTTTGAGGTCGATAAAAAAATGAGGATGATAATTTTCATTTTCCTGCTTGTTGGTTTACTTTGTCTCTCTCCCTCTCTGTGCTCCGCTGCACAGGAGCTCAGCTGACTCCTCCCCTCCTGTTTCACTGACCCCTCCCCTCCTGTTACACTGACCCCTCCCCTCCTGTTTCACTGACCCCTCCCCTCCTGTTTCACTGACCCCTCCCCTCCTGTTTCACTGACTCCTCCCCTCCTGTTTTCTTAGTGTGGGAGGAGTGAACTCTTGTGCGGTCTCATACTCTTAGCATGAGAGCTCGTAGCAATAACAAACTAAAGAAACGTTGATGGATTCTGACAAATGGAGATGGAACTGGTTTCAAAGCAGAATGTGACTGCTGCAGTGTGGGAGCACTTGGATTCAAACCCACTGACCGTGGTGAAACACTAACCTGTGTAGAGCTGGTATGTCCAATCTTTTGTAAAAAATTAGCAATTAAACTTAGCAAAACTACAAACTTGCATCTGCACCTAAAATGTAATCATCTGATACAGTGTTCCCAGCTGGGGAAATAAATCAGACTGACGGGTCGTCTCCGTCTTCCTGACAGTCCACAATGATCAGAGTGTTCAACCGATGAGCAACGTAGAAAAAGTGCAAAGAGGTGCACACTCCCAGTGTTGTTCACTTCATCTCTAAAGACATGCTGCTCTTTAATATTGTTTATTTACTCTCTGTGTTTAATTTACATTTTGTTCTTCTTTGTTTTTTATTCAAGTGCATTTTTTGTTAGAGACTGAGTCCGTTTTGTTAAACTTTCTTTAAAAATGAAAGTTTATTGATCTTTCAGAGGATGTACTTACATTATTACACTTTTATCAGTGGTCACCAGACAATATTATTGTTTATCACAATAATTTCTGAGACAATTAATTTATGGTGACAGGCCTAGTGAACATTCTTAAATATGACTTCCATCTGCCTCCAGCCCACAGCCTTGATGGGACCCACATGTGCAGAAGATGTGACATCACATTCAGCTTGTTGTTTACAGAATTAGACAAACATGAATGCTACCGGTTAGCATAGTGATTATGAGTCACTTAAATAATCATGTGACATGCTTTAGTTCAGTGTTTATATGTGAACCTGCCTCTGACAGGATGCTCCTGTGCAGCAGTTTATTGTTTTAATGAAGTGATGAGGGAGTAAGTTTAGCATGGATATGCTCCATCATACGTCTGTGGACTCTCAGTCATCCAGGACACGGAAAGTTAAAAGAAGACAAAGTCATTTCTTCTTCTGTTCTGCAGCTGCAGACATGTGGAGCTACAAGATTTAAACTGTGTGACTTCAGTTTAGTGTAATTATTACACGGATCGATCTGCTCACCATGAGCTTACAGATCTGGGTCTGGTTCAGTACCACATACTGAAAGGTCTGGGTCAGACTGAAACAAATCTGATAAAAAATAAAACTTCACTAAAGCTAATGTTTTAGACATGTTTGTTTTCATAGATCAAGTTGTCATTGAGGTAAAAACAGAACGGTCCGACAGTCAAACGAAATAAACCCAAATCTGTTGTTTGTGCTCAAAGCACATGCAGAAAGGTTCCCAGAGCTCTGGTACAAACTGGACTCTTTCTTCCTTTGTAAACAGGAAAACAAACAATGCTGCTTATAAATGTAACAAATCCACTTGCCTAGCAGCACTTTAGCGTCTTCCACATCAAAATCACCATCGCCGTCTGTATCGTACGCCACCAGTTTCCCTACAGACGGGAGGAACGCAGAAAAGAATTAGGCTTCGGATCTCACAGTCAAATAAATAAATAAATAAATAAATAAATAAATAAATAAATA